TATGAGAGTAAAGAAGAGTTAGAAACGATGTGATGTCTCGCTTGAGGTTCCAGGATAACATAAGGAAATCTATGGTGCTAGCAAGTTAAAGGAAGCTTGCGAGTAGTATAAATAGATATGTGTAGGTCACAGGCTAAAGTATGATAGAGCGACAAGGTTTTAGGTAGACAAGAGTAAAGATAAGAAAATGTGAGTCATAAGGTGACAAGAATAAGTAAGTCCTCGGGATTAAACCTATCAAAACAAGAGAGCTGATGGTTTCTGTAAGTTATAAAAAGCTCAGTATAGCTTGAATGAACTCAGAGCAGTTTAAGACTAGGGGCATTTAAAAAAGATGGAATGCTGCCCTGGTAGTAGAATGAGAGTGTAAGTGTGATAAATGATAAGAGGATGACAATTGGGCCTTCGATTGAGTAATAATTGAAAGAGAAGTCATTTCATGAATTGCATAGGATTTGAATACTCCCATAAGATGAATCACGTTGGGATGCTATAACATATGGTTTTTGAAGTTTAGTATCATTCCTAGATGGATCAGGCAAATAACTGCAAATGTTCTTGATGAGACATGAGCCCTAGTGAAAATGTATTACGTAAGAGGTTTCAAGTTATCAGTGTTAGATTATAGATCAACATTAAGGTGAATCAACAATAGATGAATAAAGGTTACAAAGTATGAGATGAGATTAGGTTGTAAATCTTAAGATGAACAGTAATGAGGAAGCATTAAGGGACTTAAATTTATACATATAGGATAAGCAGCGAGAGAGTAACTTGGAGTTAGGTAGCAGACCTTGGTAATAATAAATTAAAGTAAGTGTTGTGGTATAGTATAAGCTACCTAGATATAGTTAAGCCATAAGCATAGCTAACCGAGGATATGAAACAAGATATAGCAGTAATCGTAAGTTCGACAAGTACCGAGCGAAGAACTTTAGTACACCTATAGATGCCTAGAGGGACAGCTTGTCATAGTTCTGTATATGTTCACAAAGTGAGGCCTAGAGATTGGCTAAAAGCTGGAGGACAAATGAGAGAAGAGTGACATAGGTGCATATATAAGGACAGGGTCTTACATGCTGCATGACATAAGGTAGCAATAGTTATGAGATTGGAAGAATTCCGACCACAAATCGTGGTGTGAGAAAGAGGCCTAAATGGGGGAATACCCTGGCCTATGTATTTATTCACAGAGCAGTTGCCTAGATGGAAAGGATAACAGTAAAGTATTTGTAAGAGCTATAGGTTATGAGACTGATAAACGCATCAGTCAACATTCGAGGACGAATTTTCCAAAGGGGAAAATGATGTTACACCCCATGTTTTCGTACGTAAGAGTACGTCGTAAGTCAGTTGATGTAAGCTCAAAAATGAAATCATCTTTGAAAAGTTTACAAAGTTAGTTAATCATGTTAATGTGGAGGTTTCAAATATTTAAGATCATGAATACCAAGTACTAAGAGGGTTTGAAGGCTTAGAAGCTAAACAAATTGAAGAAAATAAGTTTTGTCGAATGTCGACAAGTTGGGAATGTTATAACGTGTACTTTTGTAATGAGACTAGGATTCTTAACACTATAAGGAGGTTATGTTATGAGTTATTTTAATCGTATGATAGTCGTGTGTTATGTTTTTAAGTCAAGCAAGTTGTGGAACAAAAGTTGGCAAAGGTCATCACAAGTTACATTCATAAATGTGCTGAAATTTAGGTCAAATGTAGATGCAATTTTCTCCCAATTTTCTTCGAATTATGGGGTGGTCTACCTACCAAATTGAATATCTATGAGTCTAATTTCTAACTTATTAAGCCGTTAGTTGATACGATATCAGAGTAGAGAGATATTCCTATTTTTGGGAGACTGTGCCAAGCAGCTCTCTATGGGACCCACAATGGCAGTTGAGATGTATTGATATATATAAGACGCCTCAACCCCATTTTAACTCATTATTTTTCAGTATCTTCAGACCATAGACATCGTAAAAACCCTCTCAAGGTTCTCTCATAATCCAAGACCCAACCAAAGGGTAAACAACACAAATCAAGTGTCGGGAATCCCGTCGCGCTAGTAAGTTTCTTGTTCTTCTTGTTGTTGCTAATTTTTGGGTGGTTCCAGCTCGTGTGGGAGGTTGTTTTAAGTAGTTTAAGTTCAGTAAAATACTATCCCAAGGTTTTCATATCGACCCTAGGTTATTTCAATTCTTGCAAATGGATTACACCATATTTCAAAATCAAAAGTTTGTTCTAGTGAAGAACAACACCTCTTTGAGGTTGTGTTGTCATTGAGGATAGTTGTGGGCTGTGTTTAGGTGAAATTTCAAGTTGTTGCTACTGGCTAAGGTGAGTATAATAGAATAATAATTGCGCTTAAGCTTTCTTGTATGTTGGTTACGTTGTTAGGATGATAAACTACAAGATAATACTTGAATTAACTTAAGTCACTTCTATGGTATTGTATTGCCATTGAGGGCTGTTGTAAGCTAAATATAACTTGGATTTAGACTTGAAGCTAATGTATAAGGTATTTGTATTGTGTTCTTGCATGTGCGTAAGTTTATCTTGATATTGATTAAGTTAAATGGATGTACTAGACATGAACTAATGAATAAAGTTGCTAATTGAAGATAGTTGGATTGTGGATTGTTTCCTTTTTTATAAATATATGATATAAGGATGGAATCATTGATAAATGACTTCATTATCATGTTAATTATGCTGTTAAGTTAATGTAAGAAGACTATAAGGGGTGATAATGGGGTTGAAGGGCGCTGAAGGGATTCAATCCGAGCTTGCCGCTCGTCGAGATATGTTGACGACTTGTTAATGAAATATTTTGTACCCTAATGTTGATGTTGTTCTTATTGCATTGCTCTGGTAGTTGTTGTTGGTATATGGTATTGGAGGAGGCCCTTGTTACAAGGGATATGCTACCCAAATTTACATAAAATGAGCTACTAGCTTAAGTTACAGAATTAGCCTTTATTCAGCACTGATTTTGAATCTCCTTATGCTATGGTAGACTGAGTTGAGTTGTTTGAAGAGTTGCTTGGAAGCTATTAAGGACTCAAAGAGGTTAAGGTATGTTAAGGCTAAACATTTCCTTTATTTTGGCATGATCCACTAACTACATGTGTTTGATAATGAGACATAAAGAGAAGTTCATATTCCTGAATTTATGTACATTGGCCTAGTCTCTTATGTTACAGTTTTCTCCCTTATCGGGACATTCTATTCAGTTAAGTATTATCTTCTTCCAGCCAAGAGAGCAGAGGATGTATATATATATATATATATAGTATTACAGTATTTTCACTACCATTGAGCTATAATCGATGGGCAGGCCCCTATTGGGCAACCACTGATCAGATGGTATATTATATACCGAGCCTACTATGGCCGAGCGCCTATGAGCGAGCCCAGAATGGCCGAGATATAGAGCCTAGTATGGCCGAGCGCCTAAGAGCAAGCCTTCTACGGTAGAGCAGTTACACATACCGAGCCTTATAGGACCGGACAGTTATTTTACTTATTATATTGAGAGAGTTGAGTCAGTATAAGCAGGTAAGCATATCTTCAGATTATCTTTGACTCCCAGCTACTTTCAGTTATTGTATTATCAGTTCAGTTGCAGCTTTCAGTTATTCTATTGTCTTACATACTCGGTACATTATTTTGTACTGATGTCCCTTTTGCCGGGGACGCTGCATTTCATGCCTGCAGGTCCTAATAGACATCTGGATAGACCTTCCCAGTTGACAGAGCCAAACATCAGCTTCGTTGGTAAGCTCCACTTCCCCGGAGTTATTAGGTCTAGACCTTGGAGTCCATTTTTTTATACAGGTTTGACGGGTAGGTCGAGGCCCTATCCCGACCATGATACAGTCATCTCTAGAGGCTTGTAGACGAGTCCTGTATATTTTATATATCAGTAGATGTTCATAGCGGCTTCGTCGGCCTGCACAGTTATATATATCAGCTTTTCGATATGTTTACCGCATAGATGAGAGAGGCATTATTTTCAGACGATTAAGAATATGGCCTCGTCGGCGTAAGTTGAGAGTTACCCCTCCAGAGTTCACAATTACATAGTGGTACGCTCGAGCCAAATATGGCATCGAGTGCCGGTCACGCCTCCCCAGGTTTGGGGCGTGACAGTTTCGCATTCGAGGACAGTCAACCGGCGGCTGACACGTGTCCGAAGTCAGAACGACGCGACTGATGGGACGTTTCATTGACTCAACAACTCAGTCATAACGCACGAAGGAAGAAACCAGGGTTCACTTTTCGCTTCGATAAATCTACCCTCCGAAAAACTAGTGGACTATCTGTGTGCGGGTAAAATCGGGAGCAATATCTACCCCGATTCCTCGATGAGAGAATGAAGGGGGAGCACGGATTCGAGATAATGTAATCTAGGTCAGAGACCCTTCATATCGAGACCCTGGAAGAATGAACAATATATCTGACATCGGACATGGAAAAGCGACGCGCCCCGGGCCGAGTGTAAGTTCTAGACCTCGGGAGACACGGTGAACTGTTATGCCTGACAGATAGTGGGTCGTAATACTCGCCCTTAACCGGATATCACGGCATGAATCTCGCTCAATATTGATTATGGATCAATAATTACCGGAAAAAAAAGATTTTTACTTTTTTTAGACTTATTCTATGATTGAAACATTCCTACTATATAAAAGGGAAGTTTTTCTTTTATCTCACACATTGTAAAACGCAATTCAAAGCAATAAAGGTTTACTTTTGTCTTTCAGTTACTGTTAAAGGCACTGCTCCCTTGTTCTATTCTTTATTCGCGACTGGGCTTGAACCGAGGGTCCAACCGATGATGAGCTCATTATTCAATCTAAGATCAGTCTTGGTCTTAACATTGTGATTGGTTTGATCAATTATTTCATCTTTAATTCATTTATCTGGTACTCTTAGTTACTCGTGTTGAATTAAACGACGTATCCTTTAAACCGCGTACAAATTTAATTGTTATCCGATTTTGGGGTAAACTAACTTTTCTTTTATTTCTCCATGTAGCACATTTAATTACACGTGTCAAATGCATAACATGACTAACTCGAAAGTACATAGAAATTATTAAAATGTATCAAGGTGGACGTATATGGATCAGCAGCAAGAAGAGAGGAACATCCGCATCACGAAAGTAAATCTGTTGAAGGGATTCCGGCAGATTGAAGCTACTCGTCCCTCTGACTCCTTTGAAAAGTTGCAAGTTAGAGTAACCTTTTTCTCCAGCACACTTACCAATACAGATTCCGTTTCTCCTGTAGTTGAAGAATCATCCATCTTTTTAAATAAATACTAGCTACACAAATTATTTCCTCCGTGTTTGTCTAAATAAAATCTGATAATAAATAATGGTCAATAATACTTTTGACCTCAAAATAGAAAGCAGGTGATTTTCAGTTCACAAATTTGTCTGGCGATTCAAGGGAATATCTTCCATACAATTTTAATATACAATTAAGGAAAACTATCATCAACCCCTGTGACCTAGTTCGAGCAAGTTTTGAATTTAAAATGTTCGCAGCATACTAAGTTGCAAATTTCAAAGTCCTTACCATTTGGCCTGAACAAGCATATATAAACCAGCTAAAATAGCCCGTATAACAGAAAAAGGGATCATTAGTCAAGCTAAACAAATAATGTAAGGCTTGAAAACGCTGCTACTACCCGTTTAAGAGCCATTAATTAGTCAAAAGTTAAATTTTTTATTTATATAAATTTTTTATTTTTATGGCTGCAAGTATGACTAAAATTAATGTTGGTGCTTTCCTGGGAAATATAGAAAGGGACTAAAATTTTCCAAAACCAATGGGACCAAGGAAAAAGCAAACAAGCAATAGAAAGTTTGTTAAAAGACAAAAGGACATCATATCCAACGCTTTGTGCCAAAAGAGCGATTATATTGATTCCTTGAAAATTGGGGAATTATATTCAGCAAAGCAATAGAATCCAATGCAAACCCAGTGGTCCAAAAAAGAAAGTTGTATGAATAGTGACTTGTCGTCAACAAGGGGGGGGGGGGGGGGGGGGGGGGGGGGGAATATTTTTACATGTAACCCGTTAAACCAGAATTTTAGAATTGGAAACGCTCCACTTAGAATGATCATGATTCGTGATTCATGACTAACGTATATAACTTCAGCCCCTTTTGTGAAAATTCTCACGTGGACCCCTCAAAAGCTGAAATGATGGGTCAGTGCAACGATCCTCAACTTTGCACCATATATGGTAGCTATGGAAGCTAGACCTCCTCCTGAATGCTGAAAGTGTCTAAGAGAAGATGGAAGACAATGAAACGCACAAACAGAAATCCCCTGCCAGCTCTGAGGCAGGGGCAAAGCCAAACTTTGGTTGGGATGGCCGATCTCGTTGAATGGGTGATGGTAGATTTTGACATGATAATGGAGATGGACAGGCTTCACTCATGTTATGGCAAGATTGATTGTCGAACTAGAACCAGAACCATTAGGTTTGAATTTTCAAATGAGTCAGTAATTGAGTGGAGGGGATGATGTCAATTGACCACCCTTTGTCGGAAAATTATAATGTGTATATAGGTAAAATATCTAATTTTGCAGGTACATAACATATATTGAACATCTTTTGTCGAGAATATTATTTTACTTCTTTTAAATTTAAATACCCTTTGAAAAATTACTGTTCGCTGCTCTCAAGTGTCCTCAGAGTCTAGAAACATTTACTAGCTTCTTTCAAAGAATATGGCTTTTATATATGTAGCGACGATGATATGTACCCAAAATACAAATGGAGCTTATATAAGACAGGAGGAAAGAGAAGTTACCATTCATCTTTGACATCACTTCGGCCACCCTCTGCTGGCACTTGGTGCACCGGTAGTCCGCCAAGAACACAACTTCCTGCACCTGCATGCCTCATAATTGCAATATTTCTACAAAATGTTATGGCTGAAAGGAGAATATAGAAATTAACTTACAAGTGGTACAGACAAGGATTCAATAGAAGCCAGAGTAACTCGAGGAATTTCTCTCCTCATCGACTTATCTACTCCACTACTTGCTGACAACCTATTCTTCTTCCGATCAACAAACTGCATTTTTTCCCCTGCAATCGCTCTGAACAACATTAATACAACTATTCTCTCTAAATGGTATACAACAAATAGATTTTGCGGGAAAATGGAGCTGGTTTGTGACAAGGATTTATGAACAGCTCTCACCACAATGATAGGCAAGTCTTATCTTCCCAGATGTTTTTGTGTTGTGGGAGAAAACACCGTTATAATTACGGTGGAAAAGGTCTTTGAGTTCACAAACAACGGTTTCATTCGTAAAAGCAGCCCACTGTGGTTTGAGTTGAACTTTCTTTTCACGGAATTATTGCACTACTAAGGTCGCTTAAAAGACAAATGTTTACCGGAAAAATTCGGATAACGTTAGATTTAGTGTGTGGTTCTAAGGATATGCAATACAATTTGATATAAATCATGTAGAGAAATAGAGATACGTATATTCTTGACTATGAGAATAGAAATATTGAGCAAAAGAATGAATAAGGTAAAATAAAACAAGCATGATGAGCTATCTTTCAATATGAGAAGTGATCTTTTGTTCCAATGCATTCTGCCCTTTAGCTTACAAGGATTCCCCCTTTTATAGAAGAGGGTTATTACGAAAAAGAATAAAATAAAATATATAGTGGAAGGTCATGATGACCTGTCTCTTTCTTGATTCCTGCCAAGATTCTTTCTCTTGGAGCGGTCGCAACGGCTCTTGTGTATGAGCTCGATACTGGCTCGAGTTCGTTACTGCGTTGGGCCTTTCGGTCTTGGCTCTAGTCCGATCTTCGAGATGGGCGTCGCGTATTTCCGACTTCGAAGTAGTGCCTTGTGGATCGATTCGGCCACGGGCTCGATAGGGTTATCGAGCCGACCCCTCAATCGACCTTCGGGCTCGAGGCTCGCTAATACCGACTTCGGAGCTCACTCCCAAAAATGTAGTTCCGACTTTTTAACACTCGAACTCGATCGAAAGTAGGAAGGCCAAAATCTATTTCGACCGTATACAGATAGTCCCGTCGTTTCTCACGAAGGATGCGGTGAGAATCGACGTGATTTATGGTGGTTCGATCGGGTCATAAGCCGACGTTTTCACAGGGATCGATTATGACGTATGTGATAGTTGTTCTATCGATTCAGCCTTTCAAGGTATTTAATGCTTGTCAGATGGCGGCCGGCCACTTGTGATATTGAACAGTCACGGTGCGAGCCTATAAATAGCTCTTCCATCTATCATTTACTTCTTTCACGCGTTTACTCCCCTAAATTTTCTCATATTTTCTTCCTTTCTTGTTGCTACCAGAGTTTTGGTGCCGTCTATTTTTCATTTTCCTTTGTCTTTCTTCCTCCCATATCAATGTCCAAGACTTCGAAAACTGTGCCTCAGAAGGAGAAAGCTTCTTCTTCACGGTCGTCCGGCTACAAGGCGCCGGTGGAGCCGTCCACCTATGACTATATCCCCGGCCCGTGTATTCTAAAGATCGATTTTAAGGTTGAGAATCCTTCATCCCTCTCGGGTCGATGCGAGCACGTGTCGATGTATATGTGCTCTATAGCGGAGGGTCATCTCGAGGCCGTTAGAAAAGACTGTAACTGGGGTTCCGAGGGTGTGTTGCAAATTCCATCCCCCGAAGAGAGTGTCGTCACCCATGTGGAGGGGTTTTTAAGTGTTTACACTTATCCCTTCACATTGGGTCCGGTGGACCCGGTGATCATCGATTTTTGCAAGAGATATCACGTCACCCTTGGTCAGATTCATCCCTCTGTGTGGCGTATAGTAATCCTACTTCGCTTCTTCTCCACTAACGCCGGGGGGCTGGATTTTACCCTGAATCACCTCATTCGGTTGTATCGGCCTCAAATCTTTCGAGGATTAATCAGACTTCATCGTCGGGCATCAAAGGCTTTGATGTAGAGCATCGACGAAGACAAGGATCGGGGTTTGATGGTGAGTTACATCTGGGTGAGGACCCGTGACCTTATTGCGGAAGAGAAGATGTCGTTCCCTGAGGAATGGAATTTCGATCGAAAGTTGTTTTCATAGATAATTTTTTTTTTGATGTTTCTTCCCGATATACAGCTGCCCCTTCGATGCCCCAAGCGGTGCCCGACCTCGAGGAATGGGTTCGGAAGTTAGCCTCGACTTCCTCTTATGCCGAACGCGCTTGGCGTGATTTGGCTAAAGGCAGATGGGAAGCCAAGAACCATGGTAAGGTTTTACTTCTCGTTTCCTTCGAAGTGCTCTTTGTGTTCCATTCGTTACCGATTTCCAGTCATGCAGGCATAACTAAGGATTCCATTTTGAGGCCTTCGAGCGGTGAAGAAGGAACCAAGTCCCCAGTCCCGAAACCGGGGAAAGACAAGAAGTGCAAAGCTGCCTCTCGATCAAAGAGCTCCAAGCCCGAAACTCGAAGGGTGAGGAGGAAAGCAATTGCCCTTTCGATTGACTCGGTCCAACGACTGAGAGAAGAAGAAGAAGACGAAGAAAAAGAAGAAGAAGAAGAAGAAGAAGAAGAAGAAGAAGAAGAGGAAGAAGGAGGTGCCTCGGCCTTGGTGTCCCGAATCGGCATATGATATGATCCCAAATAAAGTCTATAACTTCTTTCTCTCTTATTTTCTCGAACGCCTGTGCTTCAACCCATTTAGAAAAATAGTTAGTCATAAATAAAATGAATTTGGCTTTACTTGGTGTCGATGGCAGAGGGCCGACGATATCCATTCCTCACTTCATGAACGGCCATGGGGATAGGACTGAGTGGAGTTGCTCTTCGGGTTGACGGATCATTGGTGCAAACCTTTGACATTTGTCACATTTACGAACAAATTCCTTCGCATCTTTGCCCATATCGATCCAATAATACCCTGCTCTGATTATTTTTCGAACTAATTTATCGGCTCCAGAGTGATTCCTGCAAGTACCCTCGTGCACATCCCATAGGATGTAATCGGTATCTCCCGGACCCAAGCATACTGCCAACGGTCCATCGAATATTCTTCGGTACAGCGTTCCGTCCGAAGCCAACGTGAATCGAGCAGCTTTAGTCCGTAGGGTTTTAGAATCTTTAGGGTCTGATGGGAGTTTTCCGCTCTTCAAGTATTCAATATACTTGTTTCTCCAATCCCAGGTTAAGCTTGTAGAATTTATCTCGGCGTGACCTTCTTCGATTACCGATCTCGAAAGTTAAACAACGTTCCCCGAGCCCAAGTCATCTACCTCGACCGACGACCCCAAATTCGCAAGCGCATCGGCCTCATTATTCTGTTCCCGTGGAACATGCCGTAAAGTCCATTGTTTGAAATGGAGCAAAATGACAAGAAGTTTATCTAAATACCTTTGCATTCTACCTTCTCGAACTTCGAAGGTTTTGTTTACTTGACTCACCACCAACAAAGAGTCACAATTGGCTTCAATGATTTCTGCTCCCAAGTTTTTAGCTAGCTCAAGACCTGCAATTATGGCTTCATACTCGGCCTCGTTGTTAGTCAACCGAATAGTTTTAATAGATTGCCTAATAGTGTTACCAGTGGGTGGTTTCAAAACTATGCCTAGCCCGGACCCTTTCACGTTCGAAGCCCCGTCCGTAAAAAGGATCCATACCTCTGATGATGTACCTGATTTCAACATGAGTTCTTTTTAGACTTCGGGTACGAGGGTTGGCGTGAAATCGGCCACGAAGTCTGCTAAAATTTGAGACTTGATGGCCGTACGGGGTTGATATTCGATATCGTACCCACTGAGTTCGACGGCCCATTTGGCCAGTCGGCCTGATAACTCGGGTTTGCACAAAATATTACGAAGCGGGTAAGTGGTTAACACGCATATGGGATGACATTGAAAGTTCGGCCTTAACTTTCTAGAGGCGCTTATCAGTGCAAGTGCCAATTTTTCTAGGAGCGGATATCCAGTTTCCGCTTCTCCTATGGTTCGACTCATATAATAAACGGGGAATTACGTACCTTGCTCTTCTCAAACTAGGACACCGCTTACGATGACTTCCGATACTGCCAAGTACAAACAAAGTTTTTCGTTTGTTTTTGAAGTGTGAAGTAGTGGTGGGCTTGATAGATATCACTTTAGTTCCTCTAATGCTTGTTGGCACTCCGGGGCCCAAGGAAAATCGTTCTTTATTTTGAATAGAGAGAAATATTTATGACTTCGGTCTGATGATCTTGAAATGAACCGGCCTAAGGCTGCAATCCGACCCGTTAGCCTTTGTACGGCCTTCATGCTGTCCATAACGACGATGTCTTCGATGGCCTTGATTTTATTGGGGTTAATCTCTGTTCCCCCGATGTGACACCATGAAGCTGAGGAACTTGCCCGAACCGACCCCGAAAGCACATTTTTCGAGATTGAGCTTCATGTTGTATTTCCTCCAAATTTCGAACGTTTCCTGCAAATGGATCAAATGGTCCTCTGCGCGTAGGGATTTAACTAGCATGTCATCAATATAAACTTCCATTGGTTTTCCTATTTGTTCTTCAAATATTTTATTTACTAGGCGTTGGTAAGTAGCCCCTGCTTTCTTTAGCCCGAAGGGCATCACATTATAACAATACGTTCCATATTTGGTGACAAATGAAGTCTTTTCCTGGTCCTCCGGGTTCATCTGGATTTGATTATACCCGAAATAGGCATCGAGAAAAGTGAGGATCTCGTGGCCGGCCGTGGCATCGATCATGCGATCGATGTTGGGCAGCGGAAAGGAATCTTTGGGGCATGCTTTGTTCAAATCCTTATAGTCCACACACATTCTAAGTTTGTTCCCTTTTTAGGGACTACAACTACGTTGGCTAACCACTCGGGATATTTCACCTCCCGAATGGACCCTACTTTGAGAAGCTTGGTTACCTCGTCCTTTATGAATGCGTGCTTTCCCTCGGACTGGGGTCTTCTCTTTTGCTTCACCGATCTGAACCTGGGGTCCAAACTTAGCCGATGCGTCGTTATGTCCGGCGGGATCCCTGTTATATCCATATGGGACCAGGCAAAACAATCGATGTTATCGATAAGAAATTGAACGAGTTTCTTTCTGAGTTCGGGGCTCAACCCCGTTCCCAAGTATACCTTTTGCTCGGGCCAGTGTTCGATTAATGTGACTTGCTCTAGTTCCTCGATTGTTGATTTAGTGGCGTTGGAGTCATCGGGAATCACGGAAGATCGAGGGACCCTTTGATCATCATCCTCTTTGATTTTCTGGTTGTCTGGCTGGGTCGAAGCCGATGTTTGTGATTGCTATTTGGTGTTCCGTTCTCCTTTCGAGCCCGATTCTTTTATCGGCGACGGTGAGGACATTGGTTTAGCTTCCT